CATCTTTGGAGTGAACTAGGGAGGCGATTAGATAAGTGAACATAATACCCAAAAAATGCCAACGAGTTGGAAGCTGCATTACAAGAAGTGTAGTCAACGAACTCCATATGAAACTTACTACAAATTAATAGAAAACATGTCTAGAAGGATCGAGACATGCATTTCTAGCGATGGATGGCCGACTCGATATTAATATTAAGTTTTATTTCATTTTTTTTATTTACACAAAATAAATATTTTGTTGATCATCATCATTTTCGTCGAGTTTCGGATTATTTTAGACGTTTTGAGAGTATTAAAATTTACATGCATATTCATCAAAACCTAAGCTACATTTTGATAACATTTTATGTGTAGTTATTATGCGCGTTTCTGTATAATTAGTAAAAACAGGTGTCCGGATACTTTTTGTCCAGGGAGTGTATATACGCATATAAATATAACATTAATATATTTTCCTTTTTGAGTAAGATCAACGATGATGAATACAAGTTGTAAAATGAGTATCAGTACGATGTGAGTAAAGCTTCCAAAATACGATCCTGAATAAGAACGGTTGAGAAAATTGCTGAATTTAGTCAATTGGCGATTTGTACATGACGAAATTCATATTTATCGCCAAGGACCTTTTGACGAAATTGACGAAATTGATTTAGCCAATCAAATCAGATACTTTGCGATATTTGCCGATCACTAAATAAATTTTAGTGGACGTGACGGACGATTGATTCCTATACACATATTGGTTGATTTTATATAATGCAAAACATTTCAGCCAATACATTAACATCATGCAACAATTTTATACAAGGATAGTGATGGGAAAATTGCTGGTAATATGTAATTACCATATCAGACGATTTGTTTTTTGGACCCTTCTTTCAAACCCTACACACGCATGTAAACTCGATAGGTCGGTCATTTATTTATTTTAAACAATTTTCGACTTAATGAGCTTACATGTATATCTTATTGTGTGTGTGTAACTGGACAGTAGAGTGATAATTAACCCTAAAAAATTTATTTGCTCCGCAAAAAAAAAACTATTTTTACTATTCAATAGCTCGTCTAACCAATGGCACCACCTCAAACCTAATGGATTATTACTAGTATAAGGTATTCATAACGTTAGATCATACCATACTGAATTTTGAGGTTCAAACAAAATCGACGCATATGCTCAAAGTACATTTTTTGAGAACCTAGGGTTTTAATAATTTCATTAATTGTATTGTACATGGCATTTTATATAGCAATTCAATATGTAGAGTAACTTTGGGTATTTACCATGGTGATTATTCTCAATTCTTTTTTATCATGATGATAAGACAAAGGGTTCCGAATCTAAATAATTTTTTGGTGACATCATTATACTGATATTCCATGACGAAATAATTTCCCGCCCCTGCAAAGTATTTGTCAACCCGAATAAGTCATTATAAGACTGTGTAAAAGTAAAAAAAATTAATTTTAAACTAAAAATTATATAATGTATACAATAAATAATGGTAGGTAGATTCCTAAATTGTGGTGCGGTCACACACCCAAAAATTCAGGATATTGCTAAACGCATAAATACAAATAGAGCTCATTCATGTTTTCCGCATGAAAATATCCTATACCAAGGCCTCAGAGTTCTGAACCGGAGCAAATTCCCGATCCGCCAAAAACTCCCTTATTAGATGATGATATGCGACAGCTCAATATCATACCCCTTCCGGAGAGTTAATCTTTGAGGAATATAACGTTTTGGACCAGACCTCACAGAAATTTCCAATTAAAAGAAAATTTGGTAGACAAAAAAATTCTACACTTGCATAACCAAGCATATTCATTTATTATTCCAATAGATGTGGATAAATATACAGAAGTTTCATATGTCCCGATTCTCATTGCCTTTGCAAATGAACAAATTTTCTAAGGTATATCTATATCAAACTGAGCTCAAAAATAATATCCGGAAAAATACTACCGGAGCGGAATGAAGATAATTCTTTTATCAAAGATTGAAGAATGTTTAAATAGTCCAATCAGATTCTTATGCGATATATACATACATATCACCAAGCTGAACGAGAGTCATTTCTGTTATTATCCAACTAGAAAAATTTTTACCGGAATATTTTAAAAAATGCCAAACTTTTTTTTACTGATAAGAATTTTATTTTAATAATAATTATTTTCATTTCTGTCTATTTATATTAAAAAAATTGGTATTTCTATTTTTTGATTGTTCCTGGCACAATTTTGATAGTATTAGATGTTTTTTTTTGGGGGGTTGATTCCCTTTCTAGAGAATCTTTATGTTTGTAGACAAATATAAAAATAATAACTTCATTATCCAATCAAATTAAATCACTTGAAAAAGATGACTGTTATTATGATCGTCTGATGAAATCTACAAAAATATTATTAATAATATATACTACTTTTTTAATAATTAATTTCCGCCTTTTACTCTTTGTTGAATTACTGTGTAATTGCAAACTATCAAAAAAACGGACAAGAGTTTTAAAAAAAATAGTATATATTTCATCAGATTAATTTTTGACAAAATATTATCGTATAGTTATGATTTAATAATTTCCAAATTTGGTTAACGAATGTACCTCGAAAATCAATTTAATTACGGCGCATAGCGTTATTGCCTAATCAATCGATTCTTTATGTTGTTTATTTTTTATTTTGAAAATCCCCTCTTTCACATCATACATTTGAAAAAAAGTAATTTTGGCAAAATTGTTTCCCAAAACTATTGTCTTTTTAATTAAAATCCTTGTGTAATTTTGCGGCACAACTAAATTCGTATTACTAGATAAATTTTAAAAATCCTTATTATTATTTAATTTTTTCGTCAAATTACAAATAAATAAATTTGGTAATTACTATATATTATTTCTATTTAGAAACTTCGTGATGTAACTAGTACAAAGTTAATATTGGAAACTATCTTCAGAAATTCAAAATTTGATTGGATAATAATGTTTACACGCGGCAAACCCGACTACTGAATTTTCACTGATAACAAATTTGGACATGTATATATTGTGGAATTTGATTTTTGATAGGTCCCAAAAAAAAACTTCTAACAAAAAATGAAGAAAAAAAAATTTTTTGTAATACAGATAAGTTTCAAGAACGTGTAAATAAAGATCAACATTGAAATTTGAAATTTTAAGGAAAGAAAGAAAAGAATAAAAGGAATTTTTTGAATTCCCTCCGAATTATTTAATATTAATTTGCACAACATTAATCAAAATATTGATAACGATTATCCCAATGGTTTATTATAAATATAAAAACTGTCAGTCTGACTCGATTCTCTCAAAAAAAATAAAAATAAAACTCACCTCTAATCCATACTCCATATAATCTAATCCATATAATCCATACTCCATATTCCATCTAATCCATACTCCATCTAATCCATATTTACACATTCATTCATCTAAACACTTTTAAAAGTCATCATGGAGAATAAATTTATATTACTTCTTATTCTCAGCATCGTAATTTTCAACAATTTTGCTGCTACCAGGGCAGATTCGGGATGGAAAAGAGACGGACTATATAGTGACAGCATGCCTGTTATTCCAAGATTGGATGAAAGAATAACTGTAGCAAACTCATCGTACTTTTTGGTGAAGAGGCAGAACACTTGCGCTGATCCAGGTTATAACCCGTGTCCAGATGGCGATGGATGTTGTCCCGCTGGCTCAACCTGTCTACCTAACCAAAAATGCAGCGGAGGGTGTGGACCTACTTATCCACGTTGTAGTGCTACTAGTTGCTGTGCACCAGGCCAAATATGTTGTCCCCTTGGTGGTTGCTGTCCTGAAAATCAAATATGTACGTCAAATAAGACATGTCGTAAAGCAGATCCTAATGTTCCTCCTCCTCCTCCTCCTCCTCCTTCTCCTAATGCTCCAACTCCTAAGACTACTGCTGTTAATGCACCTGCTACTACTGGTCTTGCGGCACCTACTACTAGCATTGATGCTCCAACTGTTAGTACGACTACTCCTAGTGCTAAAGCCCCTCCTAAGTCACCTAGTCCTAAGCTTACTGATGCGGCTGCGACTACTAATCCTGGTACTAGTCCTACTACTACTAATGATTCATCGACTAATAAATTCCCCGGTATCAACAGCAGCAGTAACAGCTTCTTTGGTAGTTTCATTTCTTCAACATGGGTCATAATATCGATCTCAACTATATTAATTTATCTAAATTTATCATAATTTTTATTATATTTTATTATTTTCAATTTTTGTATACTACCAAAACAATTAAATTAAATAATTTTGTTTATTTTTAATTTTATATATTAATATAATTAGATTATTAATCATTAAAAATTTTGTCAATAAGTAACACTAATAAAAATAAAATTTATTGTGTAGAATCACTTAATTTTATTTATTTTATTTCAAACATTGTAGTTATGTGTGAAGCGAACATCCTTCCTCTTCCTTTAGTGTTGTTTATTAATGTTTAGATTATTAATTTTAACGTAAATATTTGTTTGCCGGATTAACAACAAACGCATTACAAACCTTTAAACATACAAAAAGAAATACCAAAGAAGTCAAGAATACATTTGTTTTTAGTTCTGAGAGGCGATGATTGTTCTAAAGTATCACAAATTTCAACTGATTGTAAAAAAACTCCCATCCTCTCTTCTCAAAAGCTAGCGATCAATGGTTAGAAATATGAGGTGTTCAATTTTTTAAGAAATTTTTATTTTCAATAATATTTTTTTTAATATTAATATAATTACAGTATAATCCTGTTACGACAAAGTGGGCTGGACATATAAGAAATTTTAATTATAACAAGGTTTTACTGTAAATAAATAATTTGAAATTGTATATATTATTATTAATATTGATGGGCATTTATCTTCTATCATAAAATGTTCATGTTGGACGAAGCAAATACTTAATCGAAAATTATATTTTGTTTTAACTATACACATATATACAATCAATATATCAGCAGTTAGGCCTTAATGTCAGTGTTTATATATTTATTGTTATTATAAATCTAAGAAATAACAATCACGATACAGCCAAACGAATCATATGAACCACAATCAGCATTTGGTAATTTTGACGTCTAAGCGAGATTATAAATTCGTTGTAACGCGAATATTATAATAGGTTTGGTTTTAAACAAAATTTTATTGTTATTTATACTTTAATAAAACCTGTGTTAGTAAATATCCCTTTTATTTGGACTCAAATATTGGCAAATCGCATTTAAGGATCTCAAATTTAATCGCATTGTATTAGTATATATATTAATATATTTCAGGTTTGTGTTACATTATTATTAAATAAAGCGAGTAATAGATCAATAATCACCACCACTACCTTTTTTTAATATATAGGAAAAAAAAACCAAATACAGTCAACCCCCTTCAAGTGTACCCCTCCCTGGGAACATATCACTATTTCTCATGAACGTGCAATTAGAGAGGGTTTACATAGTGAATGCATTTGGAAAGGGTGCACTTGGGGGGGTTGACTGTATGTGTAATTCTGATTTTTATAAATAAATAAATTTATATATAAATAAAAAATATATATAATAATAAAATATATATATAATAAAAAATGATCATAAATTGAAAAAAAGTTTTTTGTTACAAAACTATATACATTCATTTTTTAAACCTCAAAAAAAGAATTAATAAAATTAATCATCATCTATGGTTGGCTCGGTCTAAAGACCTCCTATTGCTGCGCCATGTGGTCGAATTTCAAAAAGCAATTTTGTATATGGTTCGTTCAAATTTTCAAAAAAGAGGACTTCACGTAATTTTAGTTTTAAAAAACTATTTCTTACTGCCAAATTTAGATACGATAGTCAAGAGCTAGTTTAAATTTAATAATAATTTTCCTAAATTTAGAAATGATCATAGTGGAAAATTCCTCGCGAGCATAGTAAAGTACATGTTTTAAAAAAGAATAGAACTCTACAACAAATAAATTTTGAGAAAATCTCTCTATTACATTAAAACTAAAGACATATTATATCAACTAATAGAGCTATTTTTTAAAAAGGTAGGACAGAAAGTGACTTCTATACTTTTAAAATTTGCCCAAAATTTAGGAGGTCTCTAGACCGAGCCAACTATAAAAAAAAATATATTCACGTTCAAAAATGAATCTTTCACTCTTATTTTTTGATTTTTTTTTTTTTTATAATGATTTTTGCCAATCCCTATGAAGAATAATTTTTTTAACCTTTTGATTTCTATCTACTCTGTTTATTTTTAATAAAGGAAATTCATTATAAATTTAATAATATAATGATAGTATGATTATGAATGAACACAATATTAAAAAATTCACTTTAGTGGAAGTGAAATTATATGTTCAAACCAAGTCCCATTCATAATCGCCTATATTCGTAATTTTTCCAGGAACCAATGCCAGTTATAAAAAAATTTCGTTCTAAAATTAATAGATCGTGTAACCATTAAAACATTGCTATTACGTATATAATTAGTAAATTCAAATTTTTTCCCTTGTTTAGCATAAAAAAAAGTGAATTCGAGTTTTCAAATTGAGCGTAGAAAATACAGATGATAATAGGATTTCAATTGACAAAAAAAACAACAAAAAACAATTTATCTTTTCTTGAAAAACATAGAATTTGCGAAGAACTATAATTATAATAAATTTTTTTATAGAAATTCTTATTCTTTTATAGAAAATATCTTTAAAGTCAATTTATATCATGAAATTAAAGAACGACTTTCGATAATAGCATAATTCGATAAATTCATAAAATTTGCTGCGCCAATCAGGCCTATGAATTTGACAAGAATAAAAAGAAACCTAACTGTAATAAACCGGTATCTAATGCGACATTTGTGGGCTGTGCAACAAAAAATGTTCCTATGCATGATTTATTTATGCACTAATACATTTTCTTTGTGAAAAAAAAAATTATAATAATATATTTTTTAAAATTTAAAAATTACCCACGGTTTCTAGGCATGGTTAGATAAAACAGGTTTTATGATTGACGTTTTTCTTTTTTTGAAAACAAAGAAAAAAGTCTATATATAAATAAAAGGAAAAAAGTTACAACTAATTTTTATTGGCTGATCAGAAGGAACAACATCGAATTGTTTTTTTTTTTAAAAAGCAAATGTTAAAAAATGTCCTCTTCCGCCGTATAAGGTGAAAAGTTTGAACAAGATTTTTATAATTTCAAAATATGTGGGTGTAGAAATGTTATCGAGTAAAATGAATATCCCACCGAGTTTTTGTCAAGTCGTTATGTATCTGAAGTAGTAAGCTTTAGACTTGGCGTGAATCGCTTGCTGTGAACGTTCTTTTCCGTTTCCGAAACCTACTGCTGCAACACTTTGAGCGATGCCTTGTCCTTGCGCTGGGAGCGAAGCGGTGAACAGGATGCATGAATCATGGGATTGAAAGCACATCATAGCCGTAGTTACAAAACGACTGCGAATGTTCTTCCATGGTTCTTGACAATGATGTATGACACAATACTCATTATACTTTTTTGTATATTAATATTTTTAGGCTCTCGCCAGGTGATGGTAGCGTGGACATAATCGGTATTTCACCAGAATCCCAATTATAATCCAATGCAAGAATTTGAAGCAGAAAATCGTCAATGAATTGTATTTTTCTTTGTATTAATATGTCTTGGATTATAATTAACTATTTTGAATGATTATATATAGGTCGTTTGGTTGTACGTGATCTAGAAGAGGTGTTATCTAGATGCCATAAAGATATAATTGACAGACCTTGTTTAGTTTCTTGAAAATCAATGAACTCAAAGCTCTTACAATATCAATATTAATGCTTTACCTATTTCTTTTTTCTCAACAATTACAGATCTTTTATAAATAAATGTTTTCTTTTAATGATGATAATGTAGTTGTGATATTAATAATAGTGGTGGTCATGAATAACTGCAAGTATTGCCTACATTAATGCCACCCACGTGTAATTATATTCAATTGAAAATAAAGTTCCTTTTTTGATAAATTAACTTTTTCTTCTAGGTGGTGTACGTGTCCCTGCTTATTTCAACTTCATGCTACCATAGTAGCAAAGTTTGTGGTGCATCGATTTATTGGTTTCGATCATGGAAATGTAGATAGTCATTCATATTGAAGCAATATTAGAACAAATATTATTAATCAATATAAATAAAATCACATTATATCCATTGCATAATCTTACTATAATGACAACACCACTCCTAAGGTGTGAATTCTTCATCCATTTGAAATCAAGCTCAAAAATCATTCTTATAACGTTTAATTCCTATCTGCGTGGCACAGTTAACAGTTATTTCAAACTAAAACTAAAAATATTAGAACATCAAAAACGCATTTCGCCATCAATATTCTAGATCCCTTTTGTATATGATTTGCCATATTTTTTTTTTTTTTGAATAAAAATAAAAATGAATTCAACATTTGAAAAATATTTTAATGAAAATGAAAGATTATTAAATACAGAAGATTTTTATGATGTAAAAATATACATTGGTATAGAACCAAACATCAAAGAAGTTCATGCACATTCATCAATTTTGTCAGCTCATTGTCCATTTTTTAACAGTGCATTAAATGATGCAACAAAAGAAAATGGGTATTATATTATTGAGAAAGTTAATATTAATGAAAAATGTTTCAATCCTATTCTCAAGTAAGTTTAAATAAATTTATTATCATGTTAAATTGCTTTATTTATATATAATAATGCTATTTATTTTGAAAGATTTTTATATACTTGTAAAATTGAACTTGAAAATTGTTCTGGAGCTGAAATGTTGGAACAATTAATTGCAGCAGATCAACTTGGCATTGAGTCACTTTATGAATACATGATGAAATACTTTATTGAAAATTATGAAGATTATATAAAAGAAAATCCAGTTAAAATTTTACAATTTATTTATGGTAATAAAAATTTTGTGGAACTGAAAAATATCTATTTGGAAAATTTTTGTGAATATAATGAAAAAATTATTTGGATCAAGCGAATTTAAAACATTGGAAAAACCAGTTCTTTTAGAAATTCTCAAAAGGGATGATTTATCTGTTGATGAGATGGTTATTTGGGAAAACGTTCTTGAATGGGGATTGGCAAAACATCCAGAAATCAATAATATTAACAATGTTAGAGATTGGTCATCACAAAATTTTGTTGATTTAGGCAACACATTAAAGGAATTTATTTCT